CCGTTTGCCAAAAGTTGATTTTTCAATCAACTTGTGTAGAAGGAGCCAGTCCAAAATTCTCAGCTGAGGGAATGCAGTCAATCGGTAGAAGTCACTGTTCAGGTATTTTCACAGTGCCACACCAACTGCTGTTAGAATACAGTAGCACAGCAGGGTGGACTCCCCCATCCATGCATGTGGAATTGAGCGTATTTTCTCAGCCAGTGTATGCCAGGCATTAGTGTAAATACTCCTACTTTAGATGGAGCCTTGTGGCCTGAGTCAGTCCGTGGCTTCATACATGCCTTAAATACCCCAACAGGGAGATCTTCCTGCCATAGTTCCTGACTCTGATCCTATTAACCTGTGAATTTGGGGTGGTTTGGTCCACCTTAATGTGTTCCAGCACCTTTTTTTGCAATCTTGATAATATAAAATAACAAATCCAGCAGGGATGGTGGGAATCCCTCATAATGACCATGGCATGTGTGCTGACCCAGAGACTCAGTTCAGAGATCTCACCTACAGCCCAGAGATACAAGAAATGTCCATGTCGATAAAAACTCTTCAGGAGAAAATGCTCTTGTATCAAAAATATTGAAATATTGGTTTTGGGTGGACCGGCCTTTTAAGTGATTAATCAGATTGATTTGAACAGCTTACAGCACACATGCACACATTTCTAAACATAGCCTACAATATGTATCTTCTGTATAGGAAACCCAAGCTACAGCAGTCCCGTGTCCCCCCGAAGCTTAAATATCTTATAATTCCTACCTGCTCACAGATGGCTCCAGTCATGGTCACAGGGAACGGGCGGACATTTCCTCTACCCAAATTCTCACGCTTTCTTTGGTTGCTGAACAGCTTTAGCTCTCTCTTCTCCTCCTCATCCAGAGAATTGCAGTAACGGACCTGAAATCACAGGGAAATATTTGAGACAATAAAAGTCAATGATGAAGAAACTCTTTTAATTATTCAGGATTGTAAAAAAATGTCTTCTTCATTTCTGTAAGAGGAGCGATAAAGTAGTACTGCTGAAAATGCATTACATAAAAGACTGAAGAGAAATAAAATACCTTCACAATGCGCATTAGAAGCTGCAGCAATTTAGATAGGACCCCGCGTCATTTCCTGGCCGGAGGACAACCAGCGTCATCTAGTGCTTTGCTCTCCAGCTTGACTGTCCCTGACCCACCCGTTTCATTCATTTGATTTCAGTTCTGTCCGTCATGGAGGCTCAGCATCACATGTGGGCTTTACCTAGGACAGTCTGCTGTTTTCGGGAAGCCATGTGCAGTCCCTCCCACCAGCCATGAGAAGCACATAGACAAATAAAGTATATCCTTCAATGGAAGCCCACACCAACTCAATGGGTATCCTTGGTTAAGAAAATTATCCCATATGAGAAATGTATATACTGTATGATAATAGAAATTGACCTTTGAAGTTCCAGAAGATGTCTGAAACAATTCTTCTCCTCTCTCTTCTCCGAGATAGTTTGCCTTGATGTGGATATACTTTATATTTGGTTTTCTCATTATGATTTCTATTTAACCTTTCTACATGTTAATGTGCTTTGTGCCTTTGGTGTATGTATTATAGAAGACATTTGAGACAATGGCTTGCTGGTACTGTTTTACTTTATGGCTGCTTATTCATTCCAAACGCTTTGTACGTGTAAATCATAACTTTGACTTTTCTACTTTAAAGCCCATCTAAGGAAAAACTAAAAAAAAACTACCCATACAGTGGGGCTGCCCCCTCAATCCAAGGATTAGGTGCTCATTTATGCCTACGGGACAAGAAAAAGCTATTTTTCTTGTCCCCCCTGATCCCCACTCCCATCGACTTCCTGCAGGCTGCTAGAATGGTCCCTGCAGCTTCTTCTACTCTTCACTCTGAAAATTTAAGGACCACTGACATCACATCTAATATAGGTTCCACAGACCTGCATTATATGTGAGGACTCTGAGGAACAGTCCACAACCCGAATGGAGGGGAGAGAGGTGAGCGCTGACCGCAGAAGGAGTGGGGATCAGGTAAGTAACAGTGCTTTACTCTAGTCCCCTAGGCATAAACAAGCACTTAACCCTTACAGTGCTGTTGTAGCCCCACTGCAAAGGTAGTTTATAGTTTGCCTGGAGATGGGCTTTAATGGCTCCGATGGGTTTAATATACAAAGTTAATAAAAAAATAAGGTATAAAATAAAATGAGAAAGTTTTTTTTTATTGCATTAGCTTGATGAAGGGGGTAGGGATGAACCAAGGAGGCAAGATATAAGCAGAATAAACTTCAGTTTTCAGGTACTTGGCATCGTGTCTCTTAGCTTGTCTCTGCTGAAGAGGCTAATAGATTTCTTCAACCACAAGCAATAGCAGCTGTAAATGCCGGAAACGGATGACCAGATTAAAAATGGGTCACGAACTGTGTTGATAAGCAACAGTAAAGCCCAACAGGGTTCTGCATACCAACTAATTTCTTCCTTTACAATCATCTCTCTCGCAAGGCAATGTGCCTAAAATAACAGTGAGATGAATTTAAGTCAAGCTCGAGTCGAGACACCAGGAATTGGAAATTAAGCCGCTATAAGACATTCTGCTGATTTTCACTGCTGAGAAAATGTCTCTTCATGATTCACGCTAACATCATCCAAATAGGAAACTGGGCTGGAACTGGCCATCCAGCTGTGCCTGTGCAATGTAATATTAAAACCGTCATTTGTTTAGGGTGGTTTCCTTTACAAAATGGCAAGCGGTTTACCTTGAATGCACGCGGTGAAACGCGCACAAATGTGCTTCGAACCACAGTGATAAATCAATTTTTCCACTAACAGTTTCTGCAATTAGAAAAAGTATTGCTTGAAACTAATCACTTCATAACGGGTAATATAATACTTTGTCATGTTGTTTCACGTAATTAAAGTGAACCTGTAAGGACAGAAACGGGGGGAGTAAAGCTGGCCATACAGGAAACGAATTTCGGTTGCTTCCTGATGAACTGGCTGAAATGGGAGACGTGGGTGGGCCTGTTGGCACCCCTCCGATTTTTCAATTGCCTTTTGCTGAAGAAGCCAATCCAAAAACATTTTCAGCCGAATATTGCCTTTGTCCAATAAGATGGAGCAGAAGACTGGAGCAGTGGCTGCTGAATACAATAGCTGGTAGCAGGAGATTTGTCCACCCATGCTGTTTAGCTCTGCAGGCGGAACGGAGAAAAATGAGTGTATGGCCCGCTTAACTGGTTTCAAATGTATATTCCACTGCTGGCTTCTCTGTTTTGTGGATTAATGCATTCCGTCACTGAATGCATATCACACGTTTCGCAGGAGGCAAATCAGGGTGGTGGGAGAGCACATGAAAGTTAAAAACGCATGTCAAGGCAAAAAAAGAAATGCAGTACATCTCTGGAGGACATGCGTAATTCCATTGTTTTATTCCTTTTATAATCCTGCAGGCACAGAAAAATACCAGTTGATGTGCCAGAAATGCACTCAGCTCTTAACTTCCTATTGTGGGCTGACAGCACACAGCATTTTTGTAGACTAAGTGGTGTCAGTCCTGTTCAGCTTTCTTTTGCTAAACCACTCAATTCATCAAACTACTGTATCTTTACCTACAAAGCATAGGAACTAATTAACTTGTAGTCCCAAAATAAGACCTGGGAGGATTAAATAGATTCTTTGTCACAATCCAAAGGTGACAGTCAAAATGGAAGGGTGTAGAGTTGTAGACCCTTCTCCTCGCTGTGGCTGCTTTCCCTGAGAGTGGAGTCTAAGGCCCCATTCACACTAAGCGGATTGCCGCGCGATTTCCGCTGCGATATCGTGCATTTATGCCGAGCAATACCGCGGGAAGTCGTCGGCCAATGATTTTCAATGGAGCTATCTTAATGTACAGCTCCATGTCGTGGTCGCTCCTACAGGACCCTTTTTACGGCTGATTTTTTTAAATGTAGCCCAACGGTGAAGGTCGTGCTACCGTTGCTGGAAAGTCGCGCTATCCCGGCCGCGCAGATCCGCTTCAAAAGGTATGTCGCTTAGTGTGAATGGGGCCTAAAGCTGGCCATAAAACCAGTAGAATTTTTGTTCATGTAAATTTGTTTTCAGAACATTTGCTTTCATTTCTCTAATAGTTAAAGGTGTAAGATTGACGATCGTTTTCGACCGCAGTGATGAAAGAAAACAAAGAAAGATAAAATGCTTTTATTTGGGAAATTGAATGTTAAAAATGAATGCATGATGATATTTGTCATGTCTCTGATGGCATTATGGAAAGTGCTGATGAGATTTTTCCAATGAATATTTGTAAATCTAGCAGTATGTGGCCTATAGTAAGAGCCATGTAATGTCAGAACCTGCCCCACGTATAGCTAGCTATAAACGTAACAAAATCTAGCAGTATATGGCCAGCTGAAAAGGATAGCTGATGTTCTGCCAGGCACCCCCTCATGGAAGTTTGGACACTTGTCAAGTACTCACAAACACCAGGGAGAGTAGGTTCTGGTGAGCTGTAAAGGTGGATATATTAACCTGTAGCATGTAGCACAGGTAGCACTGATGGTACAGGTATCACTGGCAACAAGGTGCACTAGGACCAAGGTTGTACTGGTATCAAGGTGCACTGGTTGCAAGATGCACTGGTAGCAAAGTTCAAAGGTAGCAAAGTTGAACTGGTAGCAAGATAGCACTGGTAGCAAGGTGTAATGGTAGTAAGGTACACTGGAGGCAAGATGCACTGAAAGCAAGGAACACAGGTAGGAAGACTGCACTGGTAGCAAGATACGGTAGCAAGGGAGCTCTGCAGAATAGATGCTCGAGCCGTGACAGTATGTTGAGTTTAAATGGACTTTCCAGTGTTGTGAAGCATCATGTGACATATCCAGGGTCGGTGCTTCCACTAGGCAAAATAGGCAGCCGCCTAGGGCGCACTGCCGCCTAGGGCACAGCCAGGGCCTTACTCTTTCGCTGCCACCGACTTATGTCATACATTACGGCAGCGGGCGGTGTTATGGGAGTCCTTTGGTATTGGGGGTTGTTATGGGTGATTTATGGGATTCCTGAGATATGGGGTGTGTTATGGCAGTCCTGAGGTAATGTGAGGGTGATATGCGGTGGTCCTGAAGCATTGGGCCAGCAGGGATTAATTTAGCGAGGAGGTGCTTGTTTCGTGGTTATTTGTTGGTCTGTTACCCTCAGCAGGGTTGGTTGGGGTGTGTGATGGGGGCTAGGGGAATGTGATTTTGTGGGAGGGTGTTTGGAGTGTGTGATGGGGGGAATGATGCAGCATTGATAAATGGGCCGCTGTTGGGGTCAGTGGGTGATAGCAGCAGGGGGTACATTGTGGTCAGTGGGAGACAACAACGGTGGAGTGAGCAGCCACCTAATTAGAGAGACACCTCAGCTGCTATCTGTGTGACTGTACTGAGTGCTAAGGGGGTGCTTAGCACCAGGCCCATGATGCTTTTAATCCAGCCCTGGGCGCAGCCTCGATTAGCGGCTTCCTCACAGGATTAAATGATGCTCGCTGGAGACAAAGACGTCTCCTGCAAACTTCAGCCAATCCGTGATGTGGGGAAATAGAGGTGCAAGTAGCTGGTCTTGCTTAGGCCGCAAAATAGTCTAGCACCGGCCCTGGACATATCACATGGCCGTGACACTTTGTGTAAGACCTGAAAATACCCTCGGCTGTGAGGGATGAAGGAGGCAACGTTGTGGGAGCGCTGTATGTAACAATCTGTGGCACTCTTTGAGATGAGACAGGCTACGTGCACAGGAAAAAGGACAACAGGATAACTCTGAATTTCTGACATTAGCAACATGTTTTTTTTTGTACTTACTGTAGAAAACAGATGTGCCAAATACTTTCAATGTATATTTAATAGAACAAAATGAAGCAAATAAGAGAAGTTCATT